GAAAGCAAACAGATCAATGGAAAGCCTGTGGAACAAGCTTTTGGAAAGTCCACGTTGACATTTGTGTACTTTGCACTGTAACGTCCTGGGCAGTTTTTCACAGGTTTCCCCAACAACTAGGAAGAATTGTTAGATTTGTTTCCACGCATGTTTGCAGACATATAGATACGCTTCCACATCAGGATGTGTTTACATTCAATTTCAGAAGTTCTGGTTAGACTTCCCCGTCCAGACCGTCGAACACCTTTTTCCCTGTTCACCAAGGTCAGTGTGAATCGATTCTGTTCGGATTCTCAGAGGCAAAGGAACTTCAGGTTCCAAATATTTTCAGCCAAAGGGTGAATTTAACACAATTCTTAACCTAGTTACTCGCCTGCGCTGATCAGATGCGAGTGGCTGGTGTGACAGCAGCGTTTCACTGTTAACGTCTGGCTCTGCGTGGCCCCGCTCCTCTGGAAGCTGGTGCCATCCCACGAGCCTCCTTCCAGTCCTTCTCTGCAGCGCGACTCGGAATGACCAGAAATATTTCGACAAATGGTTTTTTTAAGCTCAAATTATCAATCTGTTTTCTTTTACCTGTCTTTTATATGTCACTGAAGTCAGCATGTTTCACAATTCATAATGTGTGTATATTGTCAAGGACACTTTTTTTAATCAGAACAATAGATTTGGGTTCCAGCTCCCCGATACTACCTCACTTTGTATGGTCACTACACTAAATTTTTAGGCGTTTCAGGATAGCTTTGAACTTTTATTGATGGATTATTTGTTTGAACCTATCTGTCTTAGACATTTTAGGCAGCTGATGCTGCCATGAGCTATTTCACCTTGCTGGAAAGAAGAGGAACCTAGAAGGTCAGTGCCTGTGGGGAATAGTGGAGAAACAGAGAAATGCTCACCCCTGGGGAGGAAAAGGGGCGTGTAATTCCCATTACATGGATGCTCATACATTATGATCATACTTATTGTCTGTAAATGGCGCTTCACAAGCCAGCGCGCAGGAATAGCTCGGGCTGTAAGGAGAGCTGTTCCTAGCGAAGGCGTGCGTCCGTACCGTGGTGATGGAGAGCCAGCTGGGGCTGGGGAGGGTTTGGCTCTTGCAAGAGGCTCTCTGGGAATCGGGTGGTGCATGCTGACAGCTTAGGTAGCTGCCACATCGTGGCTATAATCTTCAGCCCCTTTCCCTCTTGTAATTACGTTTGTCACATCATGTCGCCAAATGAGTTTTTAGATCTTTGTTGCTGAAATAGTGTTCCCCTGTAATTGGTGCAGGTCTCTGCCCTGGCTCCGTAACAGAAATAATAATTGGTTTTATCTCTCTCTATGCTGTAGGTGTGTTCGGATGGTTTGCCCGAACAGTCAGTTAGGTCCCATTACTACGTGACTGCACGTCGGCGGTCTCACCGGCAGAGTGGCTGACCTCCTCGGATCGGCGTGCGAGGGAGTTCCCGTGCGGTGGGAGGAGGACGGTGGCCGCCTTACGCGAGCGCTTGTTTTCTTGAGGGCTAGCTACACAAGCTCGAGGAATGTAGATATGGTTCATTGCTGTAGACGATCACTGAGCAGAGAAAATACATCACCACCTGGTTT